ACAAAGGGACTTCCGGTTTCCTTAAAAATGTTGAAATCTCTTCTAAAAGCAAATCTTTCTGAATTTATTCCAAATTACAAAGATTCCGACCAAACCTAACCATGTCTTAATTGAAATTGGGATAGTTATACTTAATTTTTGTTTGCTATACAATGTCTTATTTGCACCATAAGCATTGTCCTTTCTTCACATGACCTGAAAGCCATGTTTCTGCCTCTTGAAAGAAGCAGAAAAACTTCAAGTATGTGAAGTGAAATGGGGCTTAATTTAGGCAGTTCTGAGAAACGAGATTCTTCCACAGGGGACCAAGTCTGAATGTGAATATTCCTGAAGATGAACTACCAATGGGAGATACAAAGAAGCCACACTCTTCTTGCTGCTGTATAACCAGGCACTGAATGCGGAATCCAGTTTTCTCTTGAACAGCAGCTGTTTTCCACATTGCCCAGTGGCTACTGGAGCTACTTCTGTGCCAGTGTGCGTGCAAGCATGCTGCAGAGGCTGTCACACTAGTGCTCTGCAAGTATCCCTCATCCTTAGACCCCTTGCATCAAGTACATTGGTGGAACTTCATGCCTCACTAGCATCAAATAAGATCTCAACCGCAGAGAAGCCTGGTGAATTTTCTCTTAAGAACTGTATTTCAGAACAAGACAGACAGAACAGGGTGGGACAGAAGTGGATTTTTTGTGGGTGGCAGATGTAATATGTAACCAGTTATTTATCAGAATTGTGCTTTTGCAGAGCTTTGGAGGAGGGATGTTGAAATAGCCTGTTACAGAGCTGATTAAATTTAGGGGTATTGCTAGTTCTGCCTCACAAACTCTTTTGGTGGAATCTTATGACCTTGAAGGGTGTTGGTTTTTTGGAAACTGATGGAGGATGTACTTGTACTTCTGCCACTTTATGTGCATACCCAATGCCGATTCCAGTCCTATTGCACTTTCTGTTACATTGCTGCCAGTTGATTCAAAATGAAGTAAAACAGACTGGGTTTCATTTGCCTTACTTCAACCTGGGTAAAATTCTGGTTCATTGCTGAAGGACTCCTCTGTGAACACATTGCAGAGAAAACATAGTGGGTAAGTGGGTAAAGTGAACTACATTTTATATTTATGCATTGGAAATTTTGCAGGTTTCTTAACTATTGAATTGTTAAATTCATAACAACCATGTGGGAAAAATAACAAAAAAGTTGGAATGGGATGTGAGCATCTTTGTGTTTTGGAACAGACTCATAAATTGTAAACGGCTGTTCTTGCAAAAGAACTCCTTGCACTTTTCCCTTTGAAACTGGGTAGGCTCGGTCTCCTCTTATGGGGCAACACTCTCTTCAAATTTCATTCAACTCTGCCCTCAAATAATAATTTTAAAATGATTGGCAGTTTTCCAAAAAAGCAACACCCTCTGAGGTCACAAGATTCTACCACAAAAGTCCATGAGGCAGAACTAGCAATATCCCAAAACAGGAGTTTGGCCTGTGTGCAGTTTCTGAGCTCCAATGCCCTCCTCCACTTATTTCTTTATTTCTTTATTTACTTTATTTGTATACCGCTCTTCTCAGCCCTTAGGCGACTCAGAGCGGTTAACAACACAGTTTCAATATACATAGTACAAAATCATTGGAATTTAAAGCAATAGTAAACAATTAATTAAACAACAAACATCAAACATCAATATAACAAATCCATCACGTCTCATCGATAGAATCAGAATCCAGTCTCATTATCCTTATTCCGTGTTCCAGTAATCAATTACACTGCCTAGTCGAATGCCTGTTTGAAAAGCCAAGTCTTCACTTTCCTCCGGAATGCCAGCAGGGAGGGGGCCGATCTGATCTCTGTAGGAAGGGCATTCCACAGCCGAGGGGCCACCACTGAGAAGGCCCTGTCTCTCGTCCCCGCCAGGCATGCTTGTGAAGCTGACGGGATCGAGAGAAGGGCCTCCCCAATCTTAATGTCCTAACTGTGAAAACTCAACCAAAACGTATTTTCCACATTCCCGGAGGCTCCTAGGAACTGTGGTTTTACCATGGTGCTGGATTTACAGGGGCTTTGCTGGGGAACGCCCCACTTTTGTTGAGACTGAATTGAAGTCGATCTGCCTCAGTCTGGGTTTTTGGGATTCTGGGATATTGGGGCAGTGTGGAAGGGGCCTTTATCACCCAATACTATCCTTATCTCATTCAAATAATAAGGCTGCTGCCTTGCCAGCATTGAGTAGTAATGCTAAGAGGTGGGGTCACCTCCCACACCTATGAGGTGTAAAGGTATTGGCTCAATTAGAGTTCATAGCTTCACATGGGGTCACTACAAGGCAGCATTTTTCACTTCCACCACAGTTCTGTGGCTGTAGGGTGTTGACACTGCCAGGCAGATGGAGTTTGTCAGGTTCATCCTATTGACTGTTTGTTAAACTTTCCAACAAAGTTTATCACATACCACCAGTTTGTGCAAGATGGAAGTATTCTTACTCCTTGGTAGCTCAGCTTCAGACTTCAGCTGTGTCCCTCGCAGTGTGAGGGTACATGTATGGAGGGAATAATCAGGACCATACTACAAGACTGCATAGGTGGCCCCTGCTCTATGGTAGCAAAGGAGGAAAGGATAAAAGGCCCTTCAGGTCACTAGATTCGTGAGCATGGATTATATTGCCCACAGTCGACCTCTTAATTGTTCTTGACACTAATATGATGTAGCATATTCTATTAATGATGGAGGCCCAAGAAGAGGTGTGTGTCAGCCCATACTACATGAGTGACAAATCACTGATATCCAATAATTAAATGCTTTCTTTATATGCCTATAAGATGAAGAAGGAGGAACAACAACTGAGTGGGACTTCACACAATCCAGTTATAGAATTTTGGTTCCACTTTGATTTAGAAGTCTCAGTAGAGAATTCTAGTGTTTTCCCAAACTACAAAACCCAAGGAAGCAGCCATGACAGTTAAAGTGAAATCACAGTGCTATTAACTTTGCAATGGGAAAGGGTGTTGGATCCCTACTAAACATTTCCCCTAAGGAGAATGGTATATGATTTCCTCTCTCAGATTAGAGACAGTAAAATAGAGAAAACAAGACATACAGAACAGGGAGACAAGCTGAAGGAGATGGGAGCACACAACGGTGCAAGACAAGAGGAGGCGGCATTATCAAAATCCTATTAAGCATTTGCACTGACAGATAACAAGTCTATTGGAGGAAGTTATTTTCCCCTCTTCCATGTAAACTCTGCAAAAAACAAAACAAAACAAAAAAAATCTAACTTGTGCTTTGCATATCAAAGGATAAAAGATATAAGCAAATATACTTTCACTACTTTGCACTTTAAGCTAATCCAGAGGGTTTACCTGACCATCAGAGCAGATATTGAGCACATGGAGCTAATACAAGTAGAATCTATTATTGTACTTCAAAAGGGGATGTCTGACCCATCCAAAATTTGCTGGTGGTTTTCTTGTGTCCATGTTGCTGTTGATGATGACAATCTAATGCCGACTGCTGGCGGAGAGATTGAATACTGACTAAAATAAGGAAGAGAAGGGAAGCAAAACACAAGGATGACTTGAGAACTATCTGGACTAAGGTAGTGGCATGCCTGGACTGGCGATGGCTCAGCCATTGACGGCTGGTCCTTGGAAAATTTCCAAGAAAGGAACAGTTGGACCCAATGAGCTAACATTTAGTATTGGTCTGTACCACATTGGGAAAAAAAGTCAATTCCCACATCTGTTAGCCTGGGAGGCACTGGGCTGGGAGAAAGCGTGTTTCATTCTTTTGCAGCCACATCGTATAGCCATGAGAGTGGATATAACACAAGCAAAGAATGCATGGCTTGTTGTTGTATGCTTTGAAGTAATTTGACTTACCACGATCCTAAGGTGAATCTAATCCTAAAGTGAACCTATCATGAAGTTTCTTGGCAAGATTTGTTCAGAGGGGAGTTTCCCTTTGCCTCCGAGGCTGAAGTGTGACTTTCCTAAGGTCACCAAGTGGCCTAGCAGGGATTCAAACCTTGGTCACGATTTTGCTCCATTGAAATTAAACAAAAAGTGAATGATTTTGCCAGTTTTTCACCCCCTATGCTTGGCTCTGAGTGTAAACACTGTAATATAATTGACAATTTGTAATGATTTAATGAGTTCATTCTATTTGCAGTTAACAATTGCATTTAGATATAGTGATATATGGAGCCCCCAGTGGAGCAGCAGGTTAAACCACTGAGCTGCTGAACTTGCTGACCGAAAGGTCGGCAGTTCAAATCCAGGGAGTGGGGGTGAGCTCCTATTGTTAGGCCCAGCTTCTGCCAACCTAGCAGTTTGAAACAAATGTGAGTAGATCAATAGTTACCGCTCTGGCAGGAAGGTAATGGCACTCCATGTAGTCATGCCGGCCACATGACCTTGGAGGTGTCTGCGGTCAACACTGGCTCTTCAGCTTAGAAAAGATGAGCACACACACCCCCTCCCGAGTTGGACATGACTATACTTTATGTCAAGGAGAAACCTTTACCTTTTTTATGAGATCCATGCTCTCAAACAAATATCTTTTATATTTAGAGTACAAACTCCAGTTCATAAATAAAGATCATTATAGCCTCACCTAGTTTTTTTAATCACGACTATAGGAAAGTATTAGGAAGCAAAATCAAAGCAGTTGTGACATTTGACAGAATAATAAATCACTTAGAATCCTTTTATTAGTTGTGTGTAACATACAAATGACAAGGAAATGAAAACGAGTCAGATGGAATGTTTATCTTTTTTTCCATCCTAAAAAGTTGTACATTTTTGTTCATCAGACAATTTTTTTTTTGCTACATTGCTGGAGAAAAGTGTCTAAAATGTAGTGCCATGTCACTCCAGTGCAGATAAGTCACTCTTCGCCACCTCTAAAAGAAGATTTAAACTGAGTTTAGCTTTAGTAAATGCATCTGTAAGAATGAATGAAATTCAGGCAACATATGTAATGCAGTGTTCACCGATTTTTTTTAAAAAAAAAATAGGATTGAATTTAGCTAAGGAAGAGTTTAACATCTCTACTATAAGCTATTGCAGAATTGTTAGATGAATATGTAGGTGGTACTCCTCCTGGTAAGCATTCATTCTTGCTGTGAGAGGGGAATGTGGGTGAGGAAGTAGCTTTCAAGTGAAAAATGCTCCAAAAATAAGTAGCTGATTCTACGTCAAGATAAAAGTTCAGGATTCTATGACAACCAGGATTCTGTGAACAAAAGTACCTCTTCTCTGTATGTAATATTTCTGTGAAAAGAAGTGTTGCTACAGAACAGAGCAGAAAGTGAGGATCAAACCCCTGGTGTTCACAGTTCCCATAGCATGTCCAATTGCCTACTGGATTTCCGTTCTCCAAAACAGTTGTGTGTTACTGGCAAAAGACTGCTTTGTTTTATAAAGTTTCCACATTTACCCAATGCCAGAAAAACTGGAGTATTTTCTAATTTTGGAATTTGCAAGTATTCCAGGATTTATTTGGATGAAAAATACTACCCAGAGCAACATTGTTCCTGGCTCTGCTGAACTGAGCATGTTGGAATCGCCAACGTTGGAGAAAACAGACTTTCAAAGCATGTCCTTTGGAAATGACACTGCTTCATGATTCAGCCAAACTAATCATAAGAAAGGATTGTATGCAAGTGTGGCAACAATGACAGCCGGCATTCCTTTCTGCCATAGCAATATTTCAGTACTAGAAGTGTTTCATCTGCAGCTAATATTTGCTACATTGCTGTCAATAGCTGAAATTCTCTATTAATTAAGAACTGTGGTGGCCATTCACAATTTTATTCCCTCCCTCTCCCTCTCTCTCTCTCACACACACACTGTATATATGCACATTTTGAAATTATGCTAAGAATTCAGCACCACATATAAGGGATCAAATATGTTTTAATGGCATCTACAATCCAGTATTAATTGCAAATTTAGATTTATTTAGCAAACATACTGCTTGAGAGGGATGCAAATAAAATATATTGTAAACAGCTCAACACCATAGTTCAGGTATTTAATGAGAACCATGGCTTCTTTCTAAGGTATAGAACCAAATGGAAATGATCACAACGTTCAGCTATCAAGCGATGGGTTTTAAATTTTGRATGCCCCAAAATGATATAGGCAAAGGGAAAAAACACAGTAGATCAGCTAGSTAAATGCTGAAATAAAAAATTATTAAGATGGTTTCCCCAAAATATCTTTTAAATACTTCCTACTTTTTTAGCTTGATATGGCAGCATCTAAGAAAATATTTCCTCTACTTTTTTCTTCAGCATCACCATTGGATGTTTTCTGTCCTCTTCCTCTAAATAGCTGAATCCCTCCTTTAAAATTACACTGCATTSCCAAACAATGCTGATTGATACTTCTGACAATCCCACCTTGAAATTATAAAAAGGATAGCATAAATTCCACATTACTGGATCAAATGCACGTAGAACTGATATTGAGAGTTCAATTAACTTTCCCATACGGTTCCTGTTACTCTGTCAAGAAGTGAAGGCAGACCATAGCTCCAGATTACACTATAGAAAGAATCTGATACAGAGACAGATTTTGTAGTTTTTTTTGGTCAGAGAAATCAAAAGGTTTTGTGCAACTGTGTTTCTCTGACGGGTTGAAGGTAGGAGTGATGGACTGTTAGTTTTTTAAGCAGAAGTCAAAGACAAAGGTCTCATTCATTGCCTGTAGTCAGCAATTTGAGGGCTTTCTGTAGATTCTGCACTGCAGTGCTTACATCTTCATACTGCAAAGCACTGCCAGCATATTTGCAGTATTTCTGGGCCTTGGCGAAATCTTCAGGAGTCAAACGAATTTCCCCTGTGAAAATAAAGACAGATGACCAAAAGTTAGGATCACTATATAACACACATATTTACTGAAGCACTTGAAATGACTTGTTAATATCAATTGTGAATACCAAAGATGCCTGATACCCTTTATGAGTAAGCCAATACTTTGAGAGAGATTTGCCCTTTATTTGAAGCCACTAAGGAAGGCTTTTAAAAACTCTAGTCAATTAGAGGGTAATCATGTTACAATCTACACAAAAACCAAGTACAATGCCTCATGCGTTAATCTTACATTTCCCCTCAGCTGGGAACACAACTGAGGCCATTCATGCTACTTCAGTATAATTTGTCTAGACAGGGGGACATCCCTGTTACAAGATACACTCATCCTGTGATGCAAGATATGCACAGCATTGCCGTATTTTCTTTTCCCTGACAGGTAAAAGAGAGCCAGAAATGAAGTTTGTATTACTAATGCAGCAACAGCTTGGTGCAAGTGGCAGAATTTTACTGAAGAAAAAACACAAGGAATGTGCTCAGTTGCAACCAAAGAATTAATCCTCTATACTTAATGGAAAGTTTGAAACTACAGTTGTCTCAACATATACTTATAAGATAAATATGATGCACTTTACCCATCAGCCCTATCCTCATAATTGATTTGCATCACTCTGCCCACCCATGTCCAGTAATTGACTATTACTGCAGGTTAATTGGTTGTTGGTTTGATGGTTACTCTTATATTCTGTTATAATGTTGTTTTATTCTGTTTATGCTGTTGTTTATGTATTTAGTGTGTTGTATTTTAATTATTTTTCATTGGACTCATCCCATGTAAGCCACCACAAGCTCCTCCAGGGAGATTGAGGCGGGTTATAAAAATAAAGTCAAAGTTAATAAAGAGCTTCATTTCAGTGTGTGTGTGTATGGGAGCTATCAGCTATTTGGTGGGCATAGAGTCATTGGAACTTGTAGATTCTACAGGGCAACCTATTAAAATAGCCCACCTCAGGAGTTTTATGAATTCGGGTGGATTCCTGATTACTCTGATTGCAGTCTTTAACATTCCGGAATGAATAAATACAACTGTCTTAACTGGATTAGATCCACTGAATCAGTGGAACTTATTTCCTCGTCTAACAAGTTACCACTCATACAATGTGCTAACTCTAGTTGAGACTAAACTGACTTCAGCAGAGGAACTGTATACATTGATGGAAATGTTACATAACTGCAATCCATTACAACTTTGTGTTACTTCCACTGTTGAAGAACTAGGTTTGCATAATTCGTGTTAAGTGTTAAGTGTCAAACTTGGTGATCATTAATTATTTTTGTTGTTCTAATGAAGTTAACTAGCTGGAATTGAATGTTTCCTTCCTTGAGTGGAAGGAGTCTTCCTTTGACGGATAAAAACATTCTGTTGCAGGAAGCGCCTTCTGCTGGAGGAAAGGAAACTCTGGATCAAATCCAATGCATTTGGCAATGACTGAGTAGTCAACTGGCCAAATCTTAGTCCCCTTCAGGGTGAGATAGAGCAGGGTAAAAAAAAATCTTGTTTTGACCAGTTTACAGCCCAACCTTTTAAACAACTTATAAAAATACTCAGTTCAGGATTATTTCTATTACTTTGGAAGCATTTATTTCAGAAACAGTCAAGAATGCATGTGCCTATAGCAGACGATATTCACTCCATTGCTGCATCAAACATAACACCAACTGTTCTGTGAAAAATATTGAATTTCTGTCAGCTATAACTTCAATACTGAATCATGTGGTTTATTCTACAGTTATATCTGCAATATGCAGCTGAAAATCAATCAGCAGATGCTTAAGTCCACATTTCATTTTTAAAGTTTGGTCAGTGGTGACCTCCTTCCCTTTTAAAAAAACACAGCAAGAACAATTTACCCCAAAGACCGTCTCAAGGACATTTTGTTTTTTTCATATGGAGATGCCAAAAGCAACTTGAAAATCATTCTTTTAGAAAACAGACAAGGCATCAGTCCAGTATTCTCTGGACTTTTTGGAACGAAGCCTAAATTAACCAATCTAATCTTATTTTTACAGTACCTACTCTATTACATGTTATGTTGGCAACAGGTCTTATTATTATTGAATCCTACTTCAGATACCATTATAGCAACATTTCAGGAAAAGGGTTTACCATTATTTGTAAATGATTAAGAAAAAAACTGGAAATATTTTTAAATCATTTTAAAATAAGAGAGATACATATATTTGGTAGATTTTTTTGCATCAACTAAAAGAACCAAATCTTGAAATATCAAAAATATTGACACATAGGTAAGACTCTGCCTTTTGCAGCCTAGAAAAAGCCAGACTCTTTGCAAATCCAAGGATAATATTAGCATAGTAGTTATATTTGTTGCTGCAATGTGACAGTTCACAGTTAACTTCCACCAACTATGAATCTTTCAGCTAAACAGTTTGGAACCTGATACAGAAGCTGAAAATGTATTCAGATCAGAGATAAAGAAATTTGGCTATTGCGGAAGGGAAGCAATTTTAAATATATGAGAAAGCTTGTATTTATTTAAAAACTGGCTATTTAAAACTGTGGAGAATGGTAGAATATCAGCTGCTCATACTTCTCTTGATGTCCTAGGCAATTTGGTTGCATACCTAGACGAACAGTTTGGGGTTTTTTTATGTACTGCAATTTCCAGAAGTCTTAGCTAGCATGGCCAATGGACAGGATTTCTGAGAGCTCAAATTCAATTTCTTGAAAACTACTCATTCATACATTAGATAGGACTGATAAACCCTAAACCCAGGTTTGCCAGGATTTGACATCTTTGATTGTGGTTAACACAACTCAAGTCCCTTTCAGATGATAATAGACAATCAATGTCCACTACAGTAAGCGGGGCAGGGGACATTTGCTTATGTTTTAATATTACTGTATTCTGTCATAGGGTGGTATATGGCTATCATTAACAAGTAACTGCTTTCTGAAGTTTTTGTGGAAAGTATTTTATTACAGACCTTTATTTATTTATTTGCTGTATATTCATGAAGCTTTTCTCCCAGCATTGAACCTAAGGTAGATTACTAATAGGATAAAACAAGGTAAGCTAAAAACGTCATAGAAAAATAAAATTAAATAATCATCACATTAAAGCACCATTATATTTTTAAACTATTATTACAGAAATGGTTGATCCAATGTTTCTCGTCTGATGTTACTATACAGTAGTAACAGTAATAATAATAATAGGCTGCTTTTTTCTCTGAAAAGATACTCAAAGCAACAGATAGTACTAAAAACAATACAATATATAATCATTTATCAAAGAAAAGAGTAACATGCCAGTTCTCTGGTACAAAAACTAACAATGTTCAGGTCTTTTTGAAAACTGCCAATACATTTGGATGTGGGCATAAAATGCTTATTTCTGTATTTTCAACATACCTACCAGAGCATTTTTTTAAAACTAAGTCTCTGGCTACAGGCACCTCAGTAGAAACACATCAGTTATGATGGACTGGGGTGGACAGTGCATGGTTGTGTTGGGAGGGCTACTTTTCCATTGTGGTTTGAGTGAGGTAACATGCTACAAGGTTCAACCAACCATCTTCACCCCCCCCCCCCAAGAACTCTGGAAAAACAAAAACGAACTGTAAGTGACTTCTACTTTTGATTTTTGAATTAGGGGTTGTTATGGAGGCCTCTTGACCGGGCAAAACTAAAATCGACGGCTTCTGAAGCAGTAAAAACATTTTTCCCCTACATTTTCTTTCTTGACGGGAGAATACTTGTGACAAAAGCCTTGGTGGTCACACATAGCCAATTGGGCACATTCCACCTGCCTTGTTATGGAGTATATCGAATTCTAATGGATTGATTGCCAGTATCTGACTAGATTCCAAGACACAAACAATGTATTTTATATGGCAACATTGCAAATGTGATTTGTAACTTCACAACAGTCAGCGTACTTTTCATATCTGGATAACATATATTACCCTTCTCACTGTCTTCACCGAACAAGACTAACTCCTCATCCATTTTGGCATTTTCATATGTCACAAAGTTATGAGATAGTTTTAAGCTAGAGGGTCAAAACGACTTCAAAATATATTTTGTACAAAATGAATACATTCTAGAATAAACTGGAAAAATATATGACATATACAAGCAATCCCCAAGTTAGAAACAAGATACATTCTGTAGGTTTGTTCTAAAGCTGAATTTGTTTGTAAGTTGGAACAGGTACATTTTTAAAGTGCAACTCCAGCCTATATTCTTTAGCATTGGATAACATAGGAAAGGGTTTGCACTTCTGTAGTGTTTGTTTTGCTGACTGGGCCCCTGTTCAGAACATTTCAACTTACTTTATGTCCCTGTGATGATTGGATTTTGAAAAAAAAAAGGGCTGGTTGTGGAAACAAGGATTGGTGAGAAAACATAAGCTGAAACACCTTTTTTCCATGATAACTATTTCAGGATTCAATTTCCATTCCAAGGGGTAAATTTTTCTCAGTTCCTGTTCCCTTACTCCCATTCTTAACTATGAGTGGCTTGAAAGTCGGATGTTTGTAACTCAAGGATTTACTGTAATATCAATTATATATGTATTTTGAAATATACTTTTTTAAAAGCATGAAAAACCTTTTTTATGTGTGAAGGGCTTTCAACTAAAACATTAAGAATGGCTGCTGCTAGAACTAAGCATATCTTCACAGAAGTTGTGCTTAGGTCAGACTTTACTCTTTTAAGACAATGGTTGTAAATTTATGCATTATGCTTACTTTCAACTAAGTACAGGTCGACAACTCCATATTCATATTCAGTTGTTCATGCTTTTTTGAATAATTCACATGGTTGCAGAGAAACAAAATAATTACCTCCAGGTTGGACATTATAAAGTGATGGATCTATGATTGGAATATTTTGAGGAGCGGGTTGAACTGTACTGCTTGTCACACCTGGGTAAGAAAAAGAAAGAAAGAAACCCTGTTTTTGCATTTCAAACAGTTGCACAATCTACTTTACAGGTTGCTGTAGAAATTTAAGGAAGAGGGATCGCATAAGCTATTTTCTTCCTTTTTCACATACATACGACTCTATGATTACTGTAGAAGTAAACTGGAAAGAAACAATTAGGTTCCTTCTTCACTACAAGTCCAAGTCAATATTTAAGTAACAGCTACCACAAATAATATTTCTACTGCTTATAAAGCTTAAGCTTCCAACCTGTAACAGACTAAAATAGCAACTCTGAAGACAAAATAATAATAATAATAATAATAATAATAATAATAATAATAATAATTTTATTTGTATACTACCCTATCTCCCCAAAGGGATCCAGGGCAGTTTCCAACATATAAGGCAAAACATTCAATTGCCAAGAAGAAAATCATACAGACAGATTAAAATAAAAGCATCATGACACACAAAAATCTTACTAAAACACCACAATAAACACTTAAGCCAATTGCAATTATATCTCCATCCGACAATGTTTAACAAAAACCAATGGCCAGGACTACAAAATGGGCATGGTCAACTATAAAAGGGCCGGGAAAGGGATAGTGCATAGAGTATCATAGGGCTGGGAAAGTGGAGAAAGTGCAGAACAGGGTACTATCTGATGACCTAGGGATGCCATAATGTCACTCACAACATGGGCTCATTGACTTGCTCATCTTACAATGTTGTCAATGCTATTTTTTTTGTCAGCAGTTTCTTTCTGAATTCTACATGGAGTCGGTTCTCTCTACTTCTATGCAAAATGATGGACATTATATTTAACCTGAATTTAGTGTTTGTACATCAAATTAACTTCAATATGAAAGGCTGTCGAAAACAATTAATTATGCAACTCAATTCTATAACTAGTGATTTTTATTGGTATAATTATTATCATGTTCAATTTGTCAACTGACTTACGCAGTGCTAGAATATTTGGTTAACTAGCATCCACCCTGTGGATGCCCAATACTAATAAGGTAATTGTCATTGTCAATACTCTTTACACTTAATTGATACCAAACTAATTGCAATCTCACCGGCACCTATGTGTCTGGTATATATATATCTGACATTCTGAATAATATCAGTCCAAAAAGCTCAAGCTAGAATGAAGTAGTTAGTCTTTACTATGCCAGAGCAGTCTTTATTTTTGAAAATGATTTTATAGACAACTATGAACAGAAAGGTTAACTGAAGAAAGTTTTTCTTTTAAGAGACTCTCTCTCTCTCTCTCTCTCTCTCTCTCTATATATATATATTTATTAGAATGGAGAGGTCTAGGACACCATTCAGTGCTGTGCTGAACCCACCCGTCCCTCTTTATTTCATTTGGTTCTGAATAGAATATGGCAGAGACCTCTTCATCTAATCCTTGCATTACCACATAGTCAATAAATCTACAGAAAGGACCTGATGAGGCATACATTATAGAATGGATCAAAGAGCATACCGGTGCTGTGAGGCACTTCAGCAGGAGTGTTAGCTGGAGCATGAGCCCCAGGTGGGATCTGTATACCGGTGTAATTGCTTGTGGGCACATTGCTTGTGGGCACATCAAAGGTGGAGGATGGTTGTGAGTCTTGACTGGGTAAGGCTGGGGAGCCAACTTCCTCATTTTCATCATCTAGCAAAGAGAGCACAGGGACATATTGATTATTTTTCTGATCTGTATTGTAATTATTTACAGATTTATAAATATATAGCAATGGGTTTTGCAAAGATGTGTTTTAGGCTACTTGACATGGCAATTTTGTAGCTTCTTTGAAATTGAGAGAAAGAAGTTAGTAGCATAAGCTTGCATAGATTAAAGTCTACTTCCTCAGATGCATGGAGGCACAATGACTTTAGTTTGGGCATAAAGATCCAAGTTCGTTTGTTTGAAAGGCTATTAGCAACATCTGCTGCTTATTCATCAGGTGCTGTGTAAGTGCAATCCCGGGTTTACTATGAAACACAGCAACTGATTGTGTGATGTTCTGGAATGATTTTATGTCTGTGTTTATTTTTACAGCATAGTGGTTGAGAATTACAGGGAGATCACCACTACATGAAAATATTGGATTTTGGTAAGCTACAGAAAGTGAATTTCATTCTTTTTGAGTACTGGCCTTGCAAGAGAAGGAAAAAAATGAGCAAGCAGAAAGGAATGGGGAAGTCCTCCAGTAGACTTAAACAATGCTGCTTTTCTTTCTCAACTGCACAAAGCAAGAATTATGAGACTTTTTGGGGTATTTTGGAATATGAATACATTTCCATATGATATCTGGCACTGCAGGACTCTAAAAGTTGCAGTGTATGTGTCATAAACAATACAACTTTTAAAGAACATTTTACTGAATATCCTAAATATCAATCCTTTCTTTTAGATGGATTCGCAATCTGATCCAAACAGATAGTTTTTTGTAAAGCTAGGTTGTATGTGCCTCAAGTTAATAAAAGACAAAAATAATACTAACAAATGCAACCTTTCAGTAATATATTTTTAAAAAATGTTAAGTGCATCTGCAGCAGTTAATTCTCAAGAAGAAAAAAAATATATTAAAATTTGTTTTCTAGCGAATTTAAGTGGTTCATAAATATTTCTGAAGAAGAAAGAAAATCAAATTCCTCTAAAATAATTGAGGTTATGACCAAAGAACAGTTACTATCATTAAAAGGGGTAGCTGATAAAGAAATCCTCTCTTTTTATAGCTTAGTGCTGGCCATGGAACGAAGCTGATCAAAAGAGAAATACTTCCACTGATTTTCAATCATATGAGCACATTTGAGTTCTCTGGCCATAATGAAAAATGCAGACTGGTTAATTTTATATGAGCTGACTGCATAAAATACTGACAGTATCTTTCTTTTTATATCTCTCAGGCATAAGATAGATATGACTCTACAAGCAAACAAACTAGCTAATAATTTAGGGAAGATGATAGAATATTCCAGGAGCAAAGGAGGCTTCATAGAGTTCTCACAGTGGGATTGTGAATTTAACTTTCATAAAATAGACACTGTGAAAGACTGTGGAAGTCTGTGAAAGACTTGGGCAACACCATGGCAAAATTTGCTGTAGGCTGTAATAGCAGCAAGTATTGCCAATGAAGACAAAGCCTTGAAAGAGTTCCAGTTTTCAGTGAACATAAAGTTACTTTGGCAATTAATACAAGGCACATTTGCAAGTTTCTGCATCTCCTACAGATAACTGGCTCATAGTATTCAACAAAAAGAAAGGAGCTATTCCCTTTGTTTGACAGGAATATGTAAGGGTACAGTTACAAAACTGAGAGTCAAACAGAAATTATGTGGACAACAGATAACATGCTTGCACATTCCATCCCACATGTACCAGTTATTTGTCATGTTAGTCCACAAATGATGGCTCCACTCAGCCCTCTTACTGATCAATGGGAAAGAAGGAAGGAAGAAAACTGTCCTTTCCATGAATGTAAGAGCTCCTTTTCTTTGCAGAAAACACTAAGATCCAACAGAGGTTTCTGCTAGAAACATTTGGGTGGGGACAGGTGTAAGGATTTTTAGTGATTTTGGTTCTCCTGGAGCAGCAACTCACATACTGTTCTGGAGTGTCTATCCAACAGCTTTTTTGAGGGGGCACTAAGAATGAGATGAAGGAGGGTAAATTAATGAAAATTGCTTCTACTTTGTTCTTTTTGCAGGAGTGGTTCTGTGAATGGAAGTCTGCTCAAGGGAACTAACTCTGAATGTAACTCAAATAAACTGAATATATATAATATTTGAAGGGGGAAAAAGCATTACAAAATTCTCCTTCCAATCCAATAGGTCCAGACTGCGGAGTCTCTCCATTTTTTAGACAATTGTGAATATAAGCTGCCTTCCATCTTGCATATTTTCTGTGCTGAATATTCTAGAAAAATAAGATAAAATGTATAGTTAAAAGTAAGAAAATATATAGTTAAATTCTTTATCTCTTAGGCCGCAAATCTCTACAACTAAAAAGTAAATAAAGGCAAGGAATGCTTAAATTGTCATTATTTACACTTTCATATGTTTGCTAGTCCTCTGTTTCTGTATATTGGCTACTAGCATTACACTAGTCCCTTGGTATCTGTTGGGGTTTCTCAGTGGTGTGTTGATTTTCAGTTACTTTTCCTTCCTCAGGGGAGGAAGGAAGAGGACGCCTTTTCCATGAGCATCTTTCTTCTGGCACTTGGCAGAATTCACACATCTTTGAATAACAATGGATTTGGAAGAAGTTCTTGACTGATATCTGTACACATTTTTAATAGGAAAAGAAGATACTGTATATACTTGAGTATAAGTCGACCCAAATATAAGCTGAGGCACCTAATTTTACCACAAAAAACTGGGAAAACATATTGACTTGAATATAAGTTAAGGATGAGAAATGCAGCAGCCACTGGTAAATTTCAAAATAAAAAATAGATATTACATTACATTACATTGAGGCAGCAGTAGACTAAATGTTTTTGCATTTTTACCATATTTCAAAGAAAAACAGTAAACTAGTTATGTAAGTGGAAAAGGAGGGTAAACAAAAACAATATGGTATCAAGAATAACTTAATAATAATAATAATAACAATAATTTATTTGTACCCTGTCCTATCTCCCCATGGGGATTCAGGGTGGCTTCCCACATAGTAACAGGCAAACATCCAATGCCTATGAACAAAAGGCAATACTAAACATTGTACAATAAGTTAAAATAAGTAGTTGTATTAAATAATTATCATTAAAAGCAATTAAAAAACTAGCTGAGGTAAAGTGTCATATCAGTCCCTTTTTGCCTTCTCTTAGGTTTCTCCTGTTGACACAGCCTAGAACAGCATTGGGCTTTTCAGCTGCATTATCACTCTATTGGCTCATGTTTGGCTCCTTTCACAGAATCCTAGAGTTGGAAGAGACCTCTAAAGGCCATCTAATTCAACCCACTTCATTCTGCCTTGATGCAGGGAAAACACAACAAAAGCACTCCTGACAGATGATGGCCATCCAGTATTAATAATAATCTATATAAATAAAAATGTAATGTTCCTTTTGGGATTAACAAAAACCACTGGACGAATTGACACCAAATTTGGACACAATATACCCATCAGGCTAACGAGTGACCATCACTCATAAAAACACTGAAAAACACAGCAGAAGAGACTTAAAAAGCCAAAAACCAAAAACTACATTACAACGCATGCAAAAATCCACATATATATGCAAACACACATATACACAAATATATATACACACAAAACACATATACACAGACTGGGCCACAGCAATGTGTGGCAGGGAATGGCTAATAATAATAATAATACTAATAATAATAATAATAATAGAGTTGGAAGGGATCTCTGAAGACCATCTAGTCCAACCCCCTTCATTCTGCCTTGATGCAGGGAATGCACAATCAAAACACCCCCGATAGATCCAGCCTTAATAATAATAATAATAATAATAATAATAATAATAATAATAATAATAATAATAATAGAGATGAAGTAAAACAAGAGTTTATATCTCATTCAGAAAAAGACAAGTTCAAATGCAAAATGTAGCCTCTGATTGGCCTCTTAGGCCAGATGTTATTACTCTTTTCAATAGACTATCTAGTCCAACCCCCTTCTGCCTTCAGGTGTAAGGAAGAAGCTTGCTAAACTATTCATTTCTTTAGTAGGAAGTGATTATAATATAGTAATGCCAACATTTTAAATTTCTGTGCGTTGTTTTTGTCAATATACTTGTATTTTCACGAGAAGGATGCAGTTCAGTCTCAGAACTGTAGGCTTTATTCATAAATTGAATTTATGCATCCTGCTCCTGGGTTATGAATTACTTTAACATGGGTTTCACTAATTTTACAGGCATTCCAAAGATTTCTTTGACTAGCTTTAGAGTTCGCCTACACTAACTGAATGATTTTTATTATTTCTGCACAAGGCTTTCAACATTTCTGGCATTCTTTTCCATTTGGGCCTCTAATTTTGTTCACTTTGCACAATTCCTTCAATTTTATTTTCCAAAGGGGAAATGCCAGAAAATGGAACATCTTGTTTAGAATTTATCTGTTCCAGCATGTTCCAGACTAAACCTTCTGCAGAACATATGTCTGCATGAGAAACTCATGGTAGACTTGGCACACATTGTTATTTTAGTGTAGTCTTTATGATGGTTTCCATGTTTACCTTTAAGAGCCATAGTTAACTCTAATTCTGTTCAGCCAAAATAATGAGCCTTTGTTTGAATAACAAACATGTATGGAGAATTGCTTAAATTGTATTTACTCTATACTTTGACAAAAGCAGGGGCAAGTCACTTAATCAGCACAAACTACAAATAATTCACCATGTTCTCATTTATTATCATTGGGATTGTCCAGCAAAACCACTATGTGGTTTTGTTTAAAGTTTTGTTAAAAAATGCATGAGTGTTAACTGCCTTCCCTTCCCTGGATCTCTAGACCCTTTCATCAATTCAAGCTAACATCTGGCACAAGGTGATAATGAAACATCAGTATAAGCACCAATGGCATACAAATTCAATGAGAGGAACCAACTTCTGGCATAAGCTCTGGATTTATGCTGCTAAATAATTTGACACATAATTTTCCTTTTTGAATTATGTATTTTAGAATTGTTTCTAACCTGTAAGCCACCCTGAGTCCCCTTTGGAATGAGAAGGGCGGAGCATACATGTTGTAAATAAATAAAAAATAATAGTTAAATATTGGGCACACTCCTGAACATAAACCTGCATCACAGGATCCCTTTGAAGGGGACTACAATGACTTATTTCTTTGTGGTTTCAGTGGGCTGAAGAAGCTAATTCTACTTTCTTGTGATGCTTCTTACATATGTAAAAATTAATATTGAGAATAAGATAAATACCCCCACTGTGTTTCAGCTACTAATTAAGTTAACCTTCCTCTGGGGCTAGTCTTTATACAAAAAATTCTGGAGTTGTATAATACACTTTCCAAAGTTTTATAAAACTTGATTATAAAATAATCAAGTTTTTTTTTCTATAACTCCTAAACATTCATGCATGCAGTAAGTGTTGTCCCTTCAGCATGTAGAAATTTAGGGCTTGTTTTTCAAACATTTTGTAATCCTAAAATCTCTTGTCCAAAAATCACACTGGACTACCTGAACCTGAGCTACACTAGCTATGGATTTCAGCATTCAAGAGTTTCCAATGCATAAAACTGTTCGTAACTTGTGACCAAAATCTAATTGACACAATTAAACAAGTTACTTCACAGCTAATAGAAACCCCATTGTTCTTAATGAGATTTAGTCATGCATAACTCCAGCAAGGTTAGAGGCAAAAATCTGTTTCTCTGAGTTGTGCTGTTAATGACACAAATTACTTAATGCTGCAACTTACCTCATCTGTTAGTTCTCCAAACACAGTTAGGACATCTATTAGAAGACTTGCAGTATAAAAAGACTTAATCATGTTTCTGGAGAGAGGAAAAACATTTTAACTTCTCAAATGGTTAAAAAAATACACTACTGTAAGCAAGTGAATATGAAATCGAGTAACTTTCACCCTCCCACACAAGTTGAAGAAAATATCTCTGTGAGATATTATTTGTTAAGTGAGAAATGGTTTGGGTCCTGCTTATCTTCGTGACTGCACCCCCCCCCCCACCCAATGAACTGGCACGGGTTCTAAGATCTGCTAGGGAGGCCCTCTGTGGTTCCGCTACCGTCACAAGTGCTGTTGGTGGGGACAAGGCAGAGGACCTTCTCGGTGTGGCCCCCCAGCTCTGGAATGCCCTCCCCAGGGAGATTAGGCAAGCCCTAATACTGTCCTCCTTCCTTAGGGACCTGAAGACCTGGCTGTTTACACAAGCTTTTGAGAACATCTAGTTCCTAGTTGACCTACGCAATTGTTATGCAGCCTTGCACTTTATCCCATGCCCTCTTCCCATGGTTACAGCTTTGCACTTATCCCATTCCTAGTTTCATCATTTACAACCTGGCCACAATGATAGTAGCTTACCCCATTGGTAATGAAAACTGTTTTTAATTGAGTGTTAGTTTTTGTTTATATTCCTATGTTTTATTTAATTGTATTTTTAAATTGTTTTCATTTTATGTTCTGTTTTTAGGCACTTTGTGCCATGGGTAAGCTGCCCTGAGTCCCTTCAGGCAGATGGTGACAGGATAAAATAATAATAATAATAATAATAATAATAATAATAATAATAATAATTTGTATCCCACCCTGCGTTCCCTCAGGGAGATAGGGCGGAATACAAAGCAAACCTGTGGCCATTTACACCAGTAGCTTGCAAAAAGGAATTTCTGTATTACATAAGTGAATGAGAGAAGGTTGGTAAATTGTTCTGATTATATTTGTAGGATAACCCAACTTCGATTCCAAATTTATCACAATTACGAGTTCCTGTATGAATTGCCTTTATTATGCCACTTACTTGTGAAACCGCCCAGCTCGATCTTCATTATCTGCATAAAGAAACATTTTCAATGCATAATTCTCCACATGGGCACAGCCAACTATTTCCTGAGTAACTGCCTCGTTATCACCCAGCTGCTTTTTCATCTGAGAAAATACAGAGATGTAAGAGATTATTTACATTTGTCCACATAATGAGCAGTAAGGACATATCCCAGATTTCTATTTCTCAGACCTGTTGTTTGATGTGGCCTACAGTGCCAAAGCATCTCCTATGCTCTAAACAGTTTCTGTGCATTTGTATGCTGAGACAGGAAGATAAAAGAATGACATTCTTCTGTGCAGTCCTTTCAACTGTTGGTTGTAGTGCTTCTGCCATTGCTCACATTATGAGGATGGAATATCATGAAAATATAACTGGTTTTTGGGGGAGTTCCTATTCACTGTTTGTTAAAATAAACTATCCCTGAAACTTGTCCCTTGCCTTCTAACACAGTCTAGCTGGGATTGTAACATTACCTGAGGAGCCTTGTCTAGGTATCAGCTCTTTGGCCTTCAATGCAACAATTTAAGAACAATAGACTGCTCATTATTATTGCTATCAAGTACTAAAGCTGTAAACAATATGGGAAATTTAACAAATCTCTTTTAGAGAGATCCTGAAATTAAACAAGTGTACTTAATTTTTTAAAACAATCATGGATAGTTTGGGAAATGTTTGTCAGAAAGTGGACATGTAATGTAGAAGAACCAAAGGAGTGAATGCAACACAAGTACAAATGGTTGTGTACTGTTCACCGTCTATACACACAATAAAAGTTAAAAAAAAGTGTATGTGTGTATGTGGCAGAGGTGTCCGCTTACCAAAACAGCCTTCAGCTTCCACAAACAGGCCATAGTTCCAAGAACTGAGAAGCCTCCCAAGGCACTCCCTCAACTGACATTGCAGTTATAGTAAGCGCCATGAACATGTAGCCCAAACCCTGCCAATGTCCTCCCCAAACGCTATGGCCCACCACCCGAGGAATGCTTTCATTTGGGGAGAAATTAATCTTAGATCTGACGTGTTTGCAGGCAGGCACCTCAGGGTTCCTTGTGTGGGACTTCCATGACCCTGCCCACTGCCTCCCTTAACCCTTTCCTACAAAATTCCTATGGCACACAGCAAATACAGAGGAATTGATCAGCATCTGAACAGACTGGAAGGATTTGAGGGACTGAGGCCAAATGTAAATACTGGTAGAATTCGGGGGCGACTGCCCTTGGCATATGGGAGTTGTAATTTGCCCTTACACAGAGAGAACCCAGCCGATGACAGATCTGGACCAAACTTGGCACACACACCCAACCTGGCCAAATGTGTATACAGGCCTGGTTTGGGGAGGATTGACCCACGAGTCTTAGAATTGTAGTTCACCAACATCATTATGTATTTTCTAATAGGAGCATTCATAAAAAATGAAATCAAAGACTGGCTTTTTCCTAATAAATAGTGTTACTAATTAACTAAATGATATTACTTAACATCCCAAAACAACAACAAATGCCTTTTTCAAATAATCTGGATACTGTCGAATATCCCAAGCTAGTTTTATTAATAAAAAAAACAACTTCCTGTGGTTTTTATTTTGTTTACTCTATAAGACTAGGAACATTCCCTTAAAAATATGAACAACAATATCAATACTTTTTCAACAACTATAACATACTATGAGTCAGTCTAAATTTCTAGATGTTCTGGGACTCTTTGCCCCTCATCTCACCTTAAATTAACATCTATATAAAGACTTAATGTTGTCTAACTTAAAACATCTTTTCTGGGCATTGACAGTCAGTAGAGCTATAGAGTTTCCTCCTGTGAAGGAGCTTGTACCATTTAATATAAAGAAGGAACTAATGAAATGAAAACCTCCTGTTCAACCTAACTGCACCAGTGACCTGAAGATTTACTGGAATGCTTAGTCAAGCAGCCTATTGCGACTCAAAGACCTCTTTTCAAAGATGTTACAGAGCACAAGAAGCCTCAGGTTTCCTAATAAAATCAGCAAAGTAAATAACACTGTTACAGTTACAACAGGTGGGTTTAAGGCACCTGAATAGACTTACTGTTGGCATTTAGGGAAATCCTTGTGTAGCTTTACAAAATAAAAACAAAGGATATTAGACTATCCTTATATTTCTTACGTAGCCAAAAACTACAGAAAATATGGGGATGGCAGTCTATTTTCTAACACCAATAATATTAACTAAATTTACAGGCCAGATATCTGTAACACTGATGCAGTTTACATCAGAAAGGGATTCAGTTCAGGTGATATTCTGATACTTTCTTCGAGTACCAGAATTTAAAATATAGCACAATGTAATCCTATCATTCTCATATCATCTCTGTCCATGTTCATCCCCATCTATGGTTTTTTTAGCCATCTCTTATTGAGAAGCCTACAGAATATTGTAAGAAACACTTTCAATCCTTGGTATTTATTTATTTATTTATCGTGTCATCAGCAACCATTGTATTAGAATTCTAACAGAGCAAAACAAACACACAGATTAAAAAGAAAAAGAAAAAAAAGGGGGGGGGGAAACCACACAGATTTTGCAAATTTGGTATTTGGTTAAATGTCCTTTGACCAGTATCTGGCCACTTGGAGTGCCTCTGGTGTTGCCGCAAGAAGGTCCTCCATTGTGCATGTGACAGGGCTCAGGGTGCATTGCAGCAGGTGGTCAGTGGTTTGTTCTTCTCCGCACTCGCATGCCGAGGATTCCACCCTGTAGCCCCATTTCTTAAGATTGGCTCTGCATCTCGTGGTGCCAGAGCGCAGTCTGTTCAGCGCCTTCCAAGTCGCCCAGTCTTCTGAGTGCCCAGGGGGGAGTCTCTCATCTGGTATCACCCATGAATTGAGGTGCTGGTTTGGGCCTGCCACTTTTGGACTCTCGCTTGCTGGGGTGTTCCAGCGAGTGTCTCTGTAGATCTAAGAAAACTATGTCTTGATTTAAGTCGTTGACGTCCTTGGTATAAATTGGGCATAGAAACTAAAGGTTTATCTTAACTTTTTGCTGTTTAGATTTATCAATAATGCATAGCTAGTAGGGGCAAGAAAGAATGGAAAGAAGAAAGCATACAAGCCCGCAATACACTTCCAAATCCCTACACTAAATCCAATTATTCTGAAGTAAGTTCCATCAGGTGGAATCTAATCAAGCTTTTCTATTAATGGAAGAACATTCAAAGACCCAGTTAATAATTCTCATTTTTACAATATATAGGTAGATGTAGATGTGTGTTTGTGTATGTGCGCGCACACACACACACACACACATATCTTCGCTTTCTCTCTCTTCTCTTCTTTCCCACTTTCTCTTAATTCAATTGTTTTCCCACTTTACTTGGAAAATCAATCCATTTCCCCCTTTCCCTATTACTTTAAATAAAATAGAATTTAACAAAAAAAAGACCCAGTTAAGATATATTTTCAGCTCAATAAACATCAGTTTACTAGATCAGAACTATTTGTGCTTCTGCATCCTCCCTCCACAACCTCTCATGCAGTCCTGGCTTTAAGAAAGATGCTATCATTTGCTTACCAGTTGCTTCCTATAGCTCTTGAACCAGTAAATTGTGATTTAAATCCGTTTCAAAATGTCTCCGACTCTCACCCCCCCCCCCCCCAGAATATTAGACTACCCTTATATTTCTTACATGGCCCAAACTACAGAAAACATGGGGATGGCCGTCTAACACCAATAATATTAACTAAATTTACAGTTATCTGTAACACTGATGCAGTTTACATCAGAAAGGGATTCAGTTCAGGGAGGCTATTTCCTCTCTCCCATTTCTTTGCTTAACAAGACAGACCTAAAACATATTGGGAGGAATGTCAACATTGCCCCACATGTGTCCTGGATAATGCAAGGCACTTTTAAAAGTCAAATAAAAAGAAAGAGAAGGTGGGGAGGGTTGACTGGATTCTCGGACATCATTCGTATATTGATGAAGCATAGTTCTCTCTTTCTTTTGTAATTGAGAAAAGGAGGTTATAGAAGTCCTCTATCTCTGTCTGAATGGAATGAAGGATGGGGTCTGAGTAAATAACTGAGGTTTGATACTAACAAGATGACAGTTCTGTTATACCTATTCCAGATGGGATTGTACTCCTTTCGAGAGATCACATGTGTAGCTTGGAGTTGTTTTTGGATCCAGCATTGCTCTTCAAAAGCCAAATTGCTATCATGCCCAGGAATATACTTGCCTACTTGTCCTCTTTCCTAGGCAGGGCAGATCCAGCCATACTGGTTTGCACTTCCATTATCTCTACTGTATACACTTTAACAAGTTATCCTTGAAAATTGTTCAGAACTTACAGCTACTATAAAATGTTGTCTCCAGCAAAGGATCACCGCCTTGTCGGGGCGCTGGAGCTTGAGCACCTCAATGATGTCATGAGCG